TCTCTGAAAGAAAGGTACAATTTTCTGTTTATTGAGATCTTTAATTTCTTTCAATATTTTACATTATTCTACAATTTCCCTTACATTCACCTATCATTGTTAAATTTGTTCCCAGTATTCTTATGTTAATGTGAATAGTTTTAGCATAAATTCTATATTCTCTTCTTTGTTGTGGGAAAAAAGTTGATTTCTTTCTGAAAGCTTATCCTGTAATAATTTGTCTTTTGATATTTGTTGATATTTGCTTCATACCTGCCATAGACTCTGTTTAGATTACTCATTTGATGTTCATTGTGAATTTTCTGGGTGTAAGTTATGCAAAGTAAGTAAAGTTTATTGATCATGCTCTTCAACTCTACCATGGTATACTGAATTTCTGTATGCTTCCTCTAACAATTACTGAAAGAGATTTGTAGAAATCTTCTACTATGAAAATGGATTTGCTGCTGTGTTCTTTAGTGGCACATTATGTGGACTGATATATTTTTGAAACTACATTATTAAGCGCAGCAAATTCAGAATTGTAATGTCCTGGCAGGACTGACTTTTATTTTAATGAAATGTCCCTTTATAAGTCACAGTAACTTTTGCCTTTATTGTCTAATTTTTCTGACATGCAGACATACACACATGCACACGCGTCTTACACTGCCACTTTTTAAAAATAATTTTTGTGGCATGTATTTTTAAACCTTTTGTTTCAATTTTTTGTATTAGTATATTGTTGAGCTATCTCTTTTAATCAAAATAGAAGTGCATGTTGATTTTTTTTGAAAACTGACCTGTTTTAATTATTTAAAAACAATACAGCACATCGAATTTCCCTTACATCTACAGTTCTATTATATCCACACATCCTAAGGCCAAATAGTCCCATGCCCAGAGGCATGGGGTCATAGTGAGATGCTGAAGACACACGAAGGTGAATGCTGGTGATCAGAGCTCGGCCGTCCTGGGTCACAGGTCTTCCACTCGAACATACTCCAGAGCTTTTCTTTTCAGTTTAAAATGTTTTTACAGGATTTTTTTCAGAATTATTTTATACCAGATATTAGGTTTCTTCAATGATATACAGCTCCATAAAATTTGCACTTCATCCAATAGGAATAAAAACTAATTCTGACTTTTGCCCTTTTTTTGGGAGGGGGAATAGAAAGATGTAGAACTAAAAGATTCCTGTAAAACTTGAGGAAACAGACAGGAAAGAAAACATTTAGGTTGTGCTGAGTGTTGGCTTCTGCTTGTTGAGGGTGAGACTTCCAAAAGTTAATCACACTTATGCCACTAAAGTGATTAGTACTAAGTTTTTTTTTAAGATGAGAAAAAGGAAAATACTGAACAGTGATAAGAATGGTCAAAAGATTTTTTACTGCTGGTCTATTTTTGCCTCTCACCAAAAGGTTACAAAATGAACTTATGACTGGGATGGTAACTCTGCTGGATCTGCCAACTGATGAATCTGCTTGTCCCTATAAGGCTTAAGGGAAACAGATATTAGGTTTTCTTAGTAATGTTATAGAAATAGCTTGCTGTGTTTGTGGCAGCTTAATTGAGGTCCAATAATCCTCTGCATGCATGTAGGGAAGCACGGCTATCATTTTCCAACTGCTCCCATTTGAGCACATCCAGCTACCATGGAAACTACAAAGGAAGGAAAACTGTATTTATTCCAATATTCATATAATGGGATTTTAAAGCACACTTTCCTCCACAGAGCTCCAGAGTGGAGATGATGTGCTAGGAGCTGCTGTGTTTTCTGGCATGAGCTCCCAACCTCTGAGGATCCTGGGAAGGATAGTGAATTGGTACTAGATCCCTCATGAAAGGAGGAGGTGGTCTTATTGGATGAAACATATGTGGCCCAAAACCTGGGGGTGGGCGGGAGCAGTCTCAGGGGGTGGTGGCAGTACATTGTTTACCACTGCTGGGGGACCACTTGGGGACAAGCTGAAGTAGTTGGCAGAGGCTTCTGCTGCTGCTGCAGGAGGAGGAGAAGGAAGAGCTTCTGGTAGTCTGGAATAGGCTCTAGCTCTATCCTGGAGTCTGTGGTTCTGTCCTTCTCTTTTTCTTTCTCTCTCACTGCCTGGGATCTTCCCCATTTCACACTGAGTCTCTGACCACTGACAATGAACTTATTAAAGGACTTCACGGCAGCCACTTCCACAGCCTGCCTTGTGGCACACTGGACGAAAGCACACTGTTGCCTCTGTAAAACAGTGATTTTCTGGATCTCTCCAAAACTGGTAGAAATGACTTCTGAGGTCTGTCTCAGCCATGGTATCACCCAGACCATCAACAGATAGTGTGGTGATAGTCTTATCCTCAGGCGGGTCTAGACGAGGCGTTGTGCAAGCCTGTTTTAGAAGCTTATCTCCTGCAGGGTCATTGATTTCATAATAATGCTCGTTAATATTCTGATCAGCCAGGGAGTCATCTGGGTCTGTAGGCTTCTCGTGTCTGTACAGACACTCCTACCTTATTTCCTAACTTTTCTTCATTCGCTTTCTTTATTGTTTAATCCTTAAATTCTATTTCTTCTCATTTGCGTCTCACCCCAGAAAGAATGGCTATCATAAAGAAATCAACCAACAACAAATGTTGAAGAGGCTTTGGGAGAAAAAGGATCCCTTCTCCACTACTGGTAGGAATGTAGGCTGATTGTAGAAATCAGTGTGGAGACTCCTCAAAAGACTAGGACTGGAAATCCCACTCAATCCAGCTTATCCCCCTTTTGGAAAATTTCCCCAAAGAACTGAAAACATCATATCAGAGTGATTTATGGGTGCCCATGTTTATAGCAGCACAATTTGTGACAGCCAAATCTTGGAAACAACCAAAATGCCTGTCACCTGAGGAATATATGAAAAAGATATGGTATTTTTATACAATGGAGTATTACTCAGCTATAAAGAAAAACAAACTTGAAGCTTTTGTGGGTAAGTGGATGCAACTTGAGGCTATACTCCTAAGTAAAACAAATCAGAACCATAGCAGGTGTAAATATCATATTGTCTCCCTAGTATAAGAACTCAAAAGAAGAAATAAAAACTGAAAGGTGTAACAAATCATTTCTACAATTACTAAAAGTATTTGAAATCCTTTTAGCATGAGTTATTTTGAAACAAAAATTTTACTCATGAGACATACAAAAACCCCACATCTGCTGAAATTGAAACTTCTCTTGATCTAAGTTCTTCCCTTTAAACTAAAAAAAAAAAAATCACCATCAAAATCACCCTTAACATTATGTTTGGAATGAGAAATGTAAGTCCAGCTGAAAACTACGAAAAGCTGAAAATAATAGCGTTCTAGCATTGGGAAGGACCAGAGAACATCATAAACTACACAGATTATAATGCTGTTTAGGGTCCTTCAGGTAGAGAGAAGTTAAAACTCGTAGCAACTGGGCACTTCCATAGTTTCTTATTTTTTTTTATTAGCCTATCTTTTTAGCTCATAGTGATTACATTCATTGTGGGAGTCTGTGCATGTATAAAACATATTTAGGTTCGCTTTGCATTCTCTTCCCATCTTTCCCTTGTTCCACCTTCCCTCCAGTTCTTGGGATTGCTTTCTTTCTTCTTTCTTTCTTTCTTTCTTTCTTTCTTTCTTTCTTTCTTTCTTTCTTTTCTTTTCTTTTCTTTTCTTTTCTTTTCTTTTTTTTTGCGGAACTGGGGATTGAACTCAGGCCCTGGCGCTTGCCTTTCTACTGAGCCATCTCCCCAGCTCCCAAAGGATGGCTTTTTAAAATGCCAGATTTTCAGTAGCTATGTCCGAAGAGAGTTTTAAAATGGGGCTATATCTAAAATGTTGATATCTAATACATTAGAATTTATAAATAACAAGTTTCTGGGCAATATCAAGTGATTTACAAGATAATTACAGCATCTATAAAATATTAATTTACACATGTTGGCACAAAATTTTGAGCAAGGAAGCAATTTGAGGAACCTGTTTTCTTTGCAGTACTCGTGGTGTATCTTCATGACTGCATGCACAGCCTTGTTCAGAGATCACAAGGAATGTGAAAGTGGAGCTGTGAACAAAGGACCTTCCCCACCCTGCCATCCTCATATGCTCTGCTGTGAAATGTTCTCTTAATTCTAATTAAATGAGATGAGCATAGTGTCATATTTTGGTCAGTGTTATAAACTAATAAAACTTAAGCAGGGCTTGGTGGTGCATGCCTATAAACAGAAAATGATAAGAGACTGAGGCAGAAAAAGTTCTAACCCAGCTTGGGGAATTTAGTG